ATCATCTCAAAGAACTGGGATAGGATGAGCAAACCAACCCCAAACCCCCCAGAAGAAAAGAAATAACAAAGATCAAAGCAGAACTAAATGAAATCAATAACAAAAAAAATACAGAAGAGTAATAAAACAAAAAGTTGGTTCTTCAAAAAAATAAACAAAATTGACATGCCTCCTGCTAGACTAAGGAGAAGCAGAAAAGAAAGGACTCTAATAAGCTCAATCAGGAATGAAAAAGGAGAAAGTACAACTGATACCATGGAAATACAAAATATCATTTGTGAATGCTATAAAAACCTCTATGCACATAAACCTGAAAATGTGGAGGAAATGGACACATTTTTAGAAACACACAGCCTCAATCAGGAAGAAATAGAATTCCTGAACAGACCTATATCAAGTACTGATATTGAAGCAACAATAAAAACCTTCCTAAAAAGAAAAGTCCTGTACCAGATGGTTTCACACCTGAATTTTATCAGACCTACAAAGAACAACTGGTACCTATCCTGCATAAATTATTCCACAACATCAAGAAGGAAGGAATTATCCCCAACACGTTTTATGAAGCCAATATCACCCTGTTACCAAAACCAGGAAAGGAAGCAACAAAAAAAAGAAAACTATAGACCAGTATACCTTATGAATACAGATGAAAAAATTCTCAACACAATCTTATCAAACTGAATTTAGGTGCTTATCAAAGAAATAATCCATCACAGCCAAGTGGACTTCATCCCAGAGATGCAAGGACGGTTCAACATACACAAATTAATAAATGGAATTCACCACATAAATAGAAGTAAAAATAAAGATCATATGATCCTCTCAATAGATGCAGAAAAAGCATTTGACAAAATTCAGCACCTTTTTATGTTAAGAATGCTTAACTAAATAGGCATAGATGGGACATACCTAAAAATGGTGAAAGCCATACATGACAAACCCACAGCCAACATCATACTAAGTGGGGAAAAACTGAAAGCATTTGAATTGAGTTTGCTTAGAATTAAGATTGATTTCTTGAATTAAATCTACATATTCTAATATTTTTGGCATTTACATCCTTATTGCATATCACTAAACTATCAGGCAGCCTCATATTTATGGGGTATGTCCCATAGAGCAGCAGTTCCCAGCCTTTTTGGCACCAGGGTCTGTTTACATGGAAGACAATTTTTTTCATGGACCAGAGAGTGGGGGATGGTTTTGAGATGATTCAAGCACATTATATTTATTATGTACTTTATTTTTATTATTATTACATTGTACTATATAATGAAATAATTATACAACTCATCATAGTTTGGGGACCCCTGCCCTAGAGTGATTCTAGATTAAGAGGAGCTTTTTTGTTTTTTGTTTTATAATAAAGATAAGATTATGGAACAGATCAGCAAAGAAGAAATTAACATAGCTGTAACCTTATTTATTAATTTAGAGACAGGATCTCACTCTGTTGCCCAGGCTGGAGTATATAGCGCTATGGTTATAGGTCACTGTAGCCTTCAACTCCTGGGCTCAAGCAGTCCTGCCCTAGCTTTTCCAGTAACTGGGTCTATAGGCATGTGCCACTATGCCTAGGTAATTATAAAAAGATTAGAGATGGAGTCCCATCATGTTGCCCAGGGTGGTCTCAAACTCCTCGGCTCAAGCAATCCTCCCAAGTTGAGGATTACAGGCATGAGCCACCTCATCCAGCTTGTGACCTAATTTAAAGTGAAACTTTGATGTGTGTTCGTATTTATTTGACCTCTAGATTGCTTGTTTCTTTTTCTTTCTCTCTGTCTCTCTCTTTTTTTAATTTTTATTTTTGAGACAGAGTCTCGCTCAGGGTAGTGCAGAGGCATCATGGTAGCTCACTGCAACCTCAAACTACTGGGCTTAAGTGATCCTCTTGCCTTAGCCTCTCAAGTAGCTAGGTCTACAGCAGGATGCCACCATGCCCAGCTAATTTTTCTGTTAGGGACAAGTTCTTGTTCTTCCTCAGGCTGGTCTCAAACTCCTGAACTCAAGCAATCCTCCCACCTCAGCTTCCCAGAGTGCTAGGATAATAGGTGTGAGCCACTGCACCTGGCCTAGATTGCTTATTTCCTAAAAGGAAAATATGTACTGTTCTTCACCCTGAATTTAAAGGATATAACTAACCAAGATATTTCTTACAAACTTCTTCATTACATGTCTTATTCTCACTTAGAACATTTTACATCTGTTAGTTACTCAGATCCTAATTTCTACGTTTCAAGGACAGTTAAAAAACTGAATACAGCACACATACTTGACACTAATGTTAATAAATATTTTTTTTAAGTTCAGTTCTCTAATAGAAGACATAAAAACAGTATTTCATAATGTTTGCTGCACCCCCTGCTGGCTATATTGTGACACTTCCTAAATAAAGACAGCATTTTTAGATATTGTTTAACGAACACTTTAGGTATACATACTGTTTCTCTTTGGAGTTATTTTTGTTGAGAAATAATTTCAGTTACATCTGATCTACAATAGAGTTGAATAGAGTTGACTTTTTTTTGAGAGAGACATGGTATCACTCTGTTGCCCAGACTGAAGTACATTGATTGGCACAGTCACAGTTTGCTGCAACCTTGAGCTTCTGGGCTCAAGTGATCCTCCTTCCTCAGCCTCCCAAGTAGCTGGGACTACAGGCATGTGCTGCCATGCCCAACTAATTTTTTTAAGTTTTTGTAGAGATGGGGTCTTCCATGTTGCCTAGGCTGATTTCAAACTCCTGGCCTCAAATGATCCCCCCACCTTGGCCTCCCAAAGTACTGGGATTATAGGCATGAGCCACTGTTGTCAGCCAAGTTGACATTTTAATTGAAAGCAATTTTCTTTGTAATTTGTCAATTGATATTTGAACAGCATTTATCCTTCTAGGCAGCATAATAATATACTTATTTGAAACAAAATATATTTGCAATAACCTTTTTTTTTTTTTTTTTTTTTTTTTTTTGAGACCAAGTCTTGCTCTGTCTCCCTGGCTAGAGTGCAGTGGCATCATGGTAGCTTACTGCAACCTCAAACTCCTGGGCTCAAGCGATCCTCCTGCCTCAGCCTCCCAAGTAGGTGGGACTACAGGCGTGTACCACCACACGCGGCTAATTTTTTCTATGTTTGGTAAAGACGGAGTCTCAATCTTGCTCAGGCTAGTCTCAAACTCCTGGCCTCAAGTGATCCTCCTGCCTTGGCCTCCCAGAGTGCTAGGATTATAGGCATGAGCCACCACATCTGGCCTGCCATGACCTTTTTATTAATATTTCAGCTGAAATCCAGTGGGGAAAGGCATCTTCCCAAATGTCCTTGTTTTATTATAAATAATTCTACCATGAGCATCCTTGTACATGCTTATTGTATGCTAAATACAAATGTTACAATAGTCATGAAGCTTTAGGAAGAACACTTCAAATCTTGAAAGAGATTTCCTGAGGAGGGATTGGCAGTGGTGAGGTTCTAAGAGTTATAACAGCTGTAAGGATAGAGATCACAATTGTTTGGCTCACCAGTGTATTTGAAGCCATGATCTGGAGTCAGTGTGTTAGTGACCACTCTAAGGGGCTTTATGTTTGGAGAAAAAGTAATTAAGGGAAGCACAATTTTCTAGTTAGTGCCATAAGAAGTTACAGCCATCAAATCTCATTTTTCAAGAACAAAATTCAGAGATGCTGAACTAAGTGAGCAAAGACCATTTCCTAAATGACAAGTTAAGCTAAGTGACAAAAAATTTAGGGCCATTGTTTATAAACATTGAGCAAATTCTAAGTGGGATCTTGTGCCAATTTAATGATAAACTCATCTTCTAGAAATGAAAACATGTATTCCTGTTATTTGTATACCCTTCACTATTTTAACAAACATTTTTGAGATTATACACATGTTCCCACAATGCTTTGTATTCTCAATTATCACACTGTATTGAAATTGATGGTTTACTTGTTTACCCCAGTGGGTGGCCAAATAAAGCTCAATGGTTGGATGGATGTTGGATGTGCAATACTGAGGGAAGAATCCTAATGAATCACCACATGGCCTTTAATATCCAATTTCTGCAATAATTGCTCACTTTTGTGTGTGTATATCATTGGGTGTGTTTTTTGGCTGGTCGCACACACGTAGATGTTTTGAGTACTGTTAACTGATTTTATTTTCTAATAAAACCTTATTTGTCCAAAGAAATCTTGTATTCTGAATCAGTAGAAAGTCTTAATCATAGGGTGTTTTAAAAGAATTATAAATTATTAGTCATATGCTTACTATAACCAGTCTTAAAGCTGATGATCGACTTTTCTAAGTTAAAATCCTATGGTTGTGAATTTCTGTGGTCCTGGTATAGTGAAGAGGTATAATCTATTAGTATATGCTAGATGTTAGTATGATGATTATTACAGTGATTGTGTAAGTAAATAATGTTAAAATGCTTTAAAATAATTTATATTCATAGCATTTCTACAATAATGGTAACGTTATTTTCTTGTCACTCCTTTCCCATAAGGCAAAAGCAAACAGGATGAATTATCACAAAATCAGTATTAGCCTAGACCTGAATTAAGAGACTAAAATTCTTTTCATATCATACTCTAGCACTTAAGTTTAGCTTGTCATGGATGATGTTATTGTGAGATATTTTAGAGTAATCAAAATTTTACTTCTACCTATACTTTTACCTATAATTTTAGAATACATCAAGTCTGTTTGAAATAACTATAGACGTTATGAACTGGCTGATTTTGGCATGTACCTTGATTTGGCAAGGGAGGAAACTCGGCCCAGAGAGATTAGGCGAAACTTTCCAAAGTCCTGATGCCTGAGCCACATTTTCTGATTAACCACCCAGAGGTTTTTCCACATTGCACGTTGCTTCCCATGTAAAGGACACAGAGGAAAATTATCTTATCAAATGGCCAGGAAGGGTGTTTTGCTAAATTAATTAGCTTGTGGTGTCACTGAACTTGTGTGTAACAGTTTCATATTTCTCTTTATTGCAGAATGCAAAGTATGGCGAAATCCACTAAATTTATTTAGGGGTGCCGAGTATAATCGGTAAGCATTTTGACAGCTTGGAAAACAAATGGGTCTGGTTCAGAGAGCAAAGACAGCAGCAAATGTTTTTGCTAGTTCATTTAGGGGTCATTGTAACAGTCTGTTTAGTGTTTCCATTTTTTGATACTGTCCTCAAATGTTTTGGTTTTTCTGTTTTATAAATATTTTAGCTTTGGAATGGGATAATGTACAAGAATGTATAGTTTTTAGAATTTCTCTATTACAGTTATTCTTTTCAGTAGATATTATATAATTAAAACATTTTGAAGCTTACCTGGATATGGTTATATAGATGCCATAGAAGTTATATTGGAATTTAATTTAGCAAAGTAATTAGCCAAATTAGAATTTTCATAGTTTTTGGGAAATGTCTATTCATAACACTAATTAAAGAAGGTTTTCATTAGCAATGGCTAGTAAATCTTGACACAAAAATATGGGGGAAATGTTTATTTCTTTCAAGCTGATATAATTCCTGAAGGGAGAATAGGATGACTTTTTAAAAAAATATATTTTTTTGTATTCAGTAGCAAAGCTATTTTAGTATTAGTTAATGGTTTCTATTTCAACTCCTTTGCAGCTTATGATTTTGTAGGTCTTGCTTTTTCTCTCTTAGAAGTGTCCCACCATCTTATTTCCCCTTTACAGGTACACTTGGGTGACAGGACGAGAGCCTCTTACCTACTATGACATGAATCTCTCTGCCCAGGACCACCAGACATTCTTTACTTGTGACTCGGACCATCTTCGTCCTGCAGATGCAAGTATGGAAAAGTCCTTCAGATAGTTGCTGAATGGGAAGGTTTTTTAGCTTCTTTTAAGAAACAAAGTTTCTGCTTTTAGAATATCTACTTTATAAAAATTCTAGTAAATGAAATATTACATTGCTGATTGACTAAGAGAACTTAGTCAATTGACTAAGAGAATTCTGATACTTAGGTAAAGCTTTATCACAATAAGGTATCGATGTAGAACTGAGTTCCCTCATTATAATTTAAAACATCATTTTAAAAAGTATATCAAAGTTGGACTCATATATCTTGAAGAAATATGTATTAGACAAAGCTAATTAAATTCCTATTTCAGATAGAATGAAAGGTCTTATCTCCTTAATGATATTCTAAGTAGAAATTGGTATTCACTGAATCCAAATAATTAATATATTTTGGTGACTTATCTGCCTTTTTATAGGTCCATTAGCATTGAATGGCTTCATGGCCATGGCTATCAGAGTCCATATGTGTTTTCTATCCTAGAGAAGACATTGTTTAGGATGCATTTTATACTGCTTGAGTTCCAAATAATACTACAGAGATTTTTTTGTATTATCAAACTTAGTCAAAGTAAAAAGGTAAAAAACTCTTTAGACAAAGGAATATGTACATCCTCTTAGGAAACTTACGTATAAAATACAAATTTATAAAACAAATTCAATAAAAGATTGTTATTCTTTTTTTTAAAAAGGTACCCTTTGCTGTGGTGGAAGATTATAATATGATAGATATATTCCCAAGCATTGAGTTTTGTACAATATGTTCACAAACTGCTCTGATATATAAAAATTGGGTTTGCAGGTAAATTTAGGGATCCAATACACATATTAAGCAAAAGCCTAAAGTACTTTTACTGACTCAGCTCATAATTCTTCAAATGGCTTCAAAATGTTTTCATATCTAAAGCCTATAGCAAGTGCTCAGAAAAGTGATTGATAGAAATTATGTGTGTCTAAGTACAATCAAGAGATTAGTATTATAGCCATGTCATCTCAAAATGTGTAAAATAATATATGTTCTCTAACAACAATGACATTAATGTGCTAAAGACATATAAACTCTACTAAAATGTCTTTTCTTGAATTCCTTAGCCTGTAATTCTGTGAGCACAAAAAAAGTTTACTATCAGCAATTGAAGAACAATAGAATAGCAAATCAGAACGTATTTTGTGTGGCTTTGGAGATTTGAACCAACCCTTTTAGTAATGAAATATTCTCTTGTAATTTAAGCTGAAAGCTTTTAATTTAGCTATTGTTCTGTGTTGAGTCTTTCCAATTGTGTATATATTGATTGATTTGCTTTTTTTTCTTTTTTTAAAATAGTAATGCAGAAAGCCTGGCGAGAGAGAAACCCCCAAGCTAGGATTTCTGCAGCTCATGAAGCCTTGGAGATAAATGAGTAAGCGGGGGGCAAATCTTGTTAAAAATGAAATCTCATTCTTTGCTGAATATATTCAGTTCCCATTGATACGATACTTATATTAAACCATACATTGGACCTGGAGGATTATTGGGGGGTGGTTATTACTTTATAAAATTTTTCTTTATGAAGGACAGTCACGTGGAGGTGGTTTTAGTCATTTTATAGAGCAATTCAAGTGGCTTTGCTATCACCTTAAATTAAATCCTTCAAGGGCTATCCCTAAGATATTATGAGGATATAAAATAAATATAATTCTTTACATATCTAAAACATTTTGACAAGGAAATTTTTCTGGATGTAGAATGCTCATTGGTATTATACCACTTTCTAGGTAGAACTTATGCTAGTGGGGAAAACATAATAAAAACATAAGATGACAAAATATCATTTAAAAAATATTTCAAGATCAAGACAAAGATAAGAGGAAATGTTGTCCTTAGTGTTGTTAAACATTTTATGGGTTACCAAGGAAGACTGGGAAATCTCTTCTGGAGATCTCAGAAAATGAGAAAGATTCCTAGAGTTGGAGTCATAAAAACTCAGGTTTGGCAGAGACCTTAAAGGTCATTTAGCTCAACCACCCATCTGGTGCTTGAATCACCTCGACACTATCTTTGCCAAGTGGTCATTGTTAAACTATTTTATGATTTTTCTGAAGAAGGTTACAGAATCTTCTTTGGAGATCTTAGAAAAAAGAAAAAAGATTTGCTTGAGAGTTGGAAATCCTGCCATTGTAACCAGTAGATCTATATGGTTTCTGATTCTGTCATGCAACATATTTATTTTCCAGTTTCTTGTCATCTACAAGTTTGATATGCCTGCCTTCTGTGTGTCATCCATGTTTCTGAAAAAAAATATCAGGGCCAGGAATAGAACCTGTGATATGACATATAGAAACTACCCTCCCAGTTCATGTCTTCATGAATCACCATCCTTTGGTATTGTTCACCCAACTGCTAAGCCACCCAGTTACACTATGATTCAGCCTGTTTTTCTCCATTTTAATCTTAATAATGCCATTTGTACCTATGGATCTTTAATTTATAGCAAATCTGTTAGAGTAAATTAAGCTAGCACAATCTGATTTATTTATTTGTAGTAAATTTAAGCTAGCTTCTAGTGGTCAATTCTTTTTAAAGTGCTTGGAGACCATCCCTTTACTAATCCATTAAAATATCTTTCCAAATCACTGTTCTATAGTTTGGGAAGTCTGCCTTCTTACCCTTTTTGAAAATTTATGCTGCATTTGTCATCTCATCTTCTAGTACCTCTCCATTCTTTGTGATTCCTCAGCTATCCACAGAGAGCAATTCCATGGCCTGTCCACAAGGTCTTTTGGCTTCCTGGGATTTGCCCATCCCAGTACAGTAATTCATTTAGAATGCATCAGTTATTTGCTATCTTACATCCTTATACCCATTTTAAAGTTTAATTTCTTCTCGTTTTTTCAGTCTGATAATCATTCTCCTTGATAGAAAAGCCAGGAACAAAATAAGAGGAAGAGAGTTTTGCTTTCTCTTTATTATCTCCTGCTATAAATGATGAACCTTCCTTGTTTTGTTGTTGTTGTTGTTGTATTGTTTGTCTTATTTTGCTTATTTGCTTTTGTGGTGGTTTTGGAGAAATGGGGGTGGTGATAGGGCCTTAAACATGATTTAAAAACAGGAAATAGTTGTCTTTAGCATTTTGTTTTGTCTTTATTTATATATTTATTTATTTGTAAGCTTCAGCTAATTTGGAGTTTTAGCTCTCCTGAAATTATTCTTACAAGTTCATTCCACTCTCTTACAGTCCTTCATTACATACCCTCTTTCCATCTTTTTTTACATGTCCTTTAAAAATCTGACGTGGGAGAAATCTCTGTGAAGCCATACTAGTTACTTAATTGCTGTCCCTCTTTTCTTCCTGAGAGGATCATTTGTGAGTGCAGTTATGATTGGACACTAGGAAACTGTTCAGCCCTCTTAAACCATTTTTCCTTCTGAGCCTCATGCCATTGAATCATGCCTCTTTTCTTTGAATTTTTTGAAGTCCACCATCCCCTCTTTGATTACCCCAAACTCCGAAATGACATAGTAACTCTCTCTGAATGTTCCTATCAATTTTCATTTCACCAACTATTTTTTTCTTCTTGGTCAGAATTAGGTCCAGAGTTGAAGTTCCCCTAATTGCTTCCTCTACCATCTGGGAGATAAAATTGTTACCAAAGTAAGTCAAGAACCTGTCGGGTGCCCTACTTCTAACCAAACAAGACTTCTAGCGGATATCTGGATGGTTGACACGCCCATCACCACACTTTCTTGCTTCTGTATGTGTATTGTGTTGTGACAAGGATGCATCATCTATATCTTCCATCGAGCTGAGCAGTCTGTTCCGTACTCCCCAACCATTAGCACTTCTATTGCTCTCTCCTTTCTCCTTCACTCACGGGCTCTTAGCATGTTTCTACCCCAAACTCATGAGTCTCCACATAGATGTATGTTTCTTAGCCAGTAGTGCTACTCTGCCTCTCCTCCTAAGAATACTGTTTGAAATACAAATAAGCAAAGCAAGCAAGCTGGCCCCAACCATTCTTGAGTTCCCAGCCCACCAATTATAATCTTATAGCTAATTCCTCTGATACTACATCTACCACTCAGTATATAATCTCATTTTTCACTTTATTACCCTTAACCCATATTTATATGTTGGCATCTGAAGCCTTAAGTATTTCCCCTGATGCCTATCCCAGTTACTTTCTCCAGTGAATCACTTGGACAGTTTCAGCATCATTATTGTTCTTTCCAAGTCATATATGCTGCCCTCTGTAGTAATTGGTTTTACAGCTTTTTTTCTGGGCATTTTCCTCCCTACCTACAATATTCAGTTTAAAGCCCAATTGATAGTTCCTGCTGAAATTAGAGGGATTGGCTAAAGAAATTACAAGACCCTTCCTCAAAGCTGAGATTGACTAGTAACTCCAAACCTCACATGAGCGGTGAAGTTCAGCCTCCTTTTCCTAGCTGACTGTTGTAGTTTATGAACAGTAAAAGTAACATTTGGTTTAACTTTCTGTTTACTTTGTCTCTTGTGGTCTGATGGAGATAAGTAGGGAAATGGCCACAAGGGAGGCAGTGGAGAAGAAGGAAAGGGAAGGGATGGGTGTGGTCTTCTCTGGCCTCACCATTTCCCTTACGTTTCCTTTCTTTGGCAGTGGGTTGTTCCACATATGATTTGGAAGGCTTAAATTTCTAAGAGCTCCCTTTTTTCATTAGTTAACTGCTTATCCTTTCTGGCTTCCTACCTTAGATGGTTGTTGAAAGGATTATATGAGATGATATATGTTAAGTGCTTGGTACAGTGCTTAATATATACTGAGCAAATGGTAGCTATTGTTGTTAAAGGCATGAAATTTAACTCTTGTTAGCTACTGTGGCTGAGTCAGATTTTGAGCTCTTCAGAAATTACAGTACCTATAGGTTCTTCTAGTGTGCTCTGAAACAAAAAACTCAGTGCTAACCATAATGAGATGTTGAAGCACTGTTTTTTTCAATGAGTAACTTGATTTAATGAATTTCTCGCTCAGAATAAATCCTTAGGTTGAAGGGAATCTGTATTTAGTAAACAGAAGTGAACTTATATATAGTATCTCTAACTTTGAGGGAGATATTTAATAACAGCTATCATCATCATCATCATTAGCTGACATTTATTGAGCACTTAACCACATGCTGGCTACTGTACTAAGCACTTTACATACATCATCTTACTTAACCTTCACAACAACACTGTGAACAAATAGATTCCATGTTGTTCTCCATCAGGGAGGCAGAGTAATAATAACTTGCCCAAAATGACACACTCATAAGGGGCAGAGTCCATTTGTGAGCCTCATGCTCCTAACACTACGCATCTTACCTCTCAAGCTAAAATATAGATGTTTCTTTTGTACCATTATTTTGTGTCAGCAACTGCAAACAGGGGTGCATGAACCAGTTGGCCACTCTGCATGTTTTGGCGTAACTCCTTGCCCTTCTGCATGAACTCCTACAGACTATTAGCATGTCTTGGATTTGTAATTGATGGTGGCTATTATCTGAATGGACAGGTGTGCAACTGCTTATATTCTCTTGGCTGAAGAGGAAGCAACAACCATTGCTGAAGCAGAAAAACTATTTAAGCAGGCCCTGAAGGCTGGAGACGGCTGTTACCGGCGTTCTCAGCAGCTACAGCACCATGGATCCCAGTATGAAGCCCAACATAGTAAGGTTTCCTCCAGGTTGATGCACTGGGGGATCAGAATTGTAAAATGATTCATCAGAGCAGATTTTCCATCAAAATATGATTTTCCTAGATGAGAAAAAGATTGGTGTTTGCTTTTCTTAGTTTTTATTAATTTTTTTCTGTCCTATAAGAGCAGTTAATGCATTTATAGCTCCATTGCTGTTTATGTTCACATTCTCTTCCCTGCTCATAGATTCCTAACCCCCAAAACAAATAGCAGTACCTTTAATGGTAACCTTGTTTTCTCCCCAGAATTCTTACATATTTCTGTTCGTCAGTTGCTTCCCTGTCACATAACTTTTAAGTCCCGAGTGGGAAATGGTACTTAAATTAGTGATTGTGTTATCAAATGTTTTATCTTATAGATCTTCTACAACATAGATTGAAATAGGACTATTGAGAGTAGAACAGTTATTGGTGATTGTATCAGCATTTGGCTCTTATTTAAGAAACATTGGTATTAACTTCTAGAGAGAAAGAGGCATGAGTTTTCTAATCATTTGTCTTTTTTATATTAAAAATAATGCCTTTTCTTATTTAAGATAACTCTTTAAAATCTGGGACCTTTCATTTCAGTACACTAAACTGAGAGTCAGTGACATTTTGGGGAAACAGTGTAGGAACAAGACAACAAAATCATTTCTAGAATTCCCTGAGCCCCCTTGACTGATCGATTTGTTTAAACGGAAATTTAGCAATCCTTGTCGGGGGAGAGTGTTTTCATTGTCTGACCAAAATTTGCATTGTTTCCTTAAGGAGCAGTTTCTCTCACCTCATTTCTTCCTCCTGCAACTTGGAGAGTATAATCTCATGTTTGAGATTATAAAATTAAATTTTAATGTTAAACTTGGATTTTGTGTAGAACGTGTGTTAATCTCCACGACCAGAGTGTCAGCAAGGTCTTTGCATTACAGCCTGTATACATGAGTATATCCACACAATCCACCAATACACAGACTTTTACTTTTATTCTACAGTGAGTATATATGTTAATAAAGTTTCTAATCACCATCCATATCTTACTTTTTAATTAAAAATAGCACAATGCATTTTGAAGACATGTAGTAAATGTCTATTTTGTGAACTAAATGGAAATTAATATGTAAAATTACATTATCTATAATACAACTTAAGAAATTTTCTTTCTTTTCTTCTCTAAATTAAATCCTTTCAACCTGTTGCCTAAATCTATCCAAAAAATATAATCACATCTTTAAAATAATTTGTAGGCACTTGGCAAATTTTCAGCACACATCTTGTTCTCATTGTTTAAAACTTGAAATGTTAGGACTTTGGTCTTAACATCTTTTAATAGCTGCATATTATACATGTACTTAATCTATAACAGGTGTGTCATATTTTTCTCAAACATGGTAATTTTATTGAGGATTAAGCACATGCATGTTCTCACTGGTCTGGAAACATATCCAAAAAGACATACAATTAAATAAAAGATTAAGATAAGAAGTTGTTAATGTACTTTTTAAGAGCTATTTTAGTGACTATTGTTATAACTATTTAGCTTGTCAATGCATTCTCTAACACTAGGGTAGTTTTTCATTTTGTTGCATACTCTATTGTCATATCTGGAATGTGTTATATTGCCATCTAAAATCAACTGCTTTGGGGACCTGGAGATGATTATGATGTCACTAGTGTTAGGGAAAGAATAATATAAAGCAGAAGTTCAAGATGAGGCTTCTCTAGACTTAATGTCAAGAATGAAAAAAAATAGTTCATCAGGATGCAACCTGAGATTCACCTCTTTGCATCTTACCAAAACCATGCACACTTGAAGAATGTGGAATTCTTGCTTGTAAACTGAATGCAGTGTGGGTAGGTTCATTTTCCCAGCACTTTGCAGCAGATGATTTTATTTATTATCTAGTATTTCACATCCTAACTCGAAAGCATGGATTAGGTAATTAGTCATGTGATTTGACCTTTGGAAGTGTAAGTACTTTCACTTTACTCTGTATTCATTCTATTATTAAAAGAGCTGTCAGTACTTCTGGCAATAAGGAAAAGCCAAAGGAACTGCCTCTGAGGTTTCCTTTAAGAGAAAGGCAAATGGGCCGCTCTGTTTTTTGTTGCTGCTCATCTGAAAGCAATTGTTGTTTTTATTTTTTTTTTTAATTTTGGTGTTTTATCTCTCCCTCTTCAGGACGAGACACCAATGTTTTGGTCTACATCAAAAGAAGGCTAGCAATGTGTGCCAGAAGACTCGGAAGGACCAGGGAAGCAGTGAAAATGATGAGAGATGTGAGTTTGAACTTGTATTTAGAATCAGTGGCCATGCACCTGGCTTAGAGATGTAGGAGCCCACTGAATGGCTAGAGCAAAAAGTACCAGTGGTGGTGTGGTGGTCCCATGGACTCTGGAGCCAGCCCATCTGGGTGCAGCTCTAGCTCACTAGATGAATGATCTTGGGCAAGTTGCTTTCCTTATCTTTAAGATGGGGATAACAATAACAATCCTCACAATTACTTCTTAGGATTGTTGTGAGATAATACATGCAAGGCTTTTAATAGAGTGATTGACATATTAAAAAAAAATCTCAATAGATGTCCTTTTTATTAAATTTTGGGGACTGTAGCTGGAAGCCAATAATGAGATCAGCCATTTTAGCTAACTGACTTTTTCTGTGGATAGTTGCTAGGAAGATTTGAATAAATTGTGGGTCAAATTGCTGTCCTCAAACTTAGTAATATTGTAAGTTAATCCTATAGTAGTCATTTTAAGCATTTTCCTAGATTCTTGAACCAAGATACTTTATTCGTAAGATTCAACACAAGAATTAAGAAGAAAAGAAATAGGCGAGAGTTTTAAAACAAAAGAGAACGGAGGGAAGTTGATATTATATAGCTTTAAAACAAAACAGGGGTTATAAAAGAGACCAGTTGAGGAACATCTATTTCCATTTGTTGTTATCGTTGTTGTTTTTAGTAAGAAATATTTTTCTTAAAGAAACTGACACCAGTGTGAATTGTATTTATACGCCATTTTCTTTTTACAATCTCAGAAAACCTTTGTCAACATTTTGTTCTTCTGCTTTATTCCTAAATTACAAGACATATATAACTGCCTATTATAAAAATGAAAGAACCAAGAGGCAAGATGAAAGTGGCATCTTGTCCAATTCTTAGTTCATGGATTTGAGCACAAGACTATGCAAACCTAGTGAGCCTTTTTGCCTTTCTCTGGAAGAGCAGTTCCTGTGAATTCCCACTTACTCTTTGGATGAGGCAGCCTACTACTTTCAAGGCCCATCTCTGATTATTTCTGCACGTTACAGCAAATGTGAGAAAACCCAAGTAAGACCCATGCTTGGGTCTGGCTACTCCATTAAGCTGAAGTGTAGCCCCCAAATCTGAGAAGAACAAAAGGGGATGATAATAAAATAATTCTATTTGTTTGAAGGTATTAGATGCTTTTTAGGCAAAGCCACTGCAAAGGGGGATCTCCCAGGATTCAATTCTTTTGGTTGAAGGAAGAATTTAAAGAATGTTTGTTATATAGCATAAGTACTAATTTTAAGAAAAGGTGATTTCTGCAGACATGAACTCGCTCTCAAAGCTTTTTAACTTACAGAAATTCCACCTGTGATATAGCAAAGAAAGTCTGCCAGTCACCTTGGCTCTGAAGGAGTAGGGAATTTTAGGAACAGCGAGGTATTTCTTTATCTTAACCTGGCCAAGCCACATTCAACCTTTCACAGTTGTTTTATATCTATTGCTTCTTCTTAACCTTAATTAGCCTCGAAGAGGCATGCATTTAAGAGCAAATGTTGGTGATTTTTCTTATTATGTGCTTAAGCAACTGAATAGGAAGAACAAATTCTGATAATTTTAATTCATTTTTCTGTCACTCTCATTCTGGTTATCATTTTCAGTAATACATATACAATTTCGCATGATTAAAACCAAAACTCTATACTATGATTTGCTTTTTGTTTAACATTATTTTACATTTATAATTACATTTATTGACCTAGTCCAAATACAGATCTGCGGGGAGAGTTTGGGATGCAGTGGGAGAAACTGGACAGGGGATCAAAAAACCTGAATGTAAATGTCAGCTTTGCTATTTACTAGCTTTATGACCCAAGGAAACGTGCCTTGTATGGGCTTTTCATTTAGTCTTCTGTAAATTGGGGATAATGATTTTTACCAAAGAGGATAATTATTGATGGGGAGAATTAAATGAGATAATGTGAAAACACCTGGCATATAGTAGGCATGCTTCTGATTTTTTCCCTAGTGTGTCATAATTCACTTGATTATTCCCCTGATAACTTTTTTTTTTTTTTTTTTTTTTTGAGATAGTCTTGCTCTGTTACCCTGGGTAGAGTGCATTGGCATCATCATAGCTCCCTGAAACCTTGAATTGCCTGGGCTTAAGTGATACTCTTGCCTCAGTTTCCTGAGTAGTTGGGAATACAGGCATGTGCCACCATGCCTGGCTAATTTCTTTTTCTTTCTTTTTTTTTAAAGTCACCTGGCTGATTTTTCTATATTTAGTAGAGACAGGGTCTCAATCTGGTCTCGAACTGCTGAGCTCAAGCAATCCTCCCACCTCAGTCTCCCAGAGTGCTAAGATTACACACTGCACCCAGCCTCCTGGTGGGCAATTGGGAATATTTCTAATTTCTTTTTCTTGAATGAATCAATCACTCAATCAAGTAATCTCTCTCTTTCTCTCTCTGCTTATGTTATACATACATACTTATGCATGTTTATATCTTTAAATGTGTGTGTTTTATGTTACATTTCTAAAAATATCTGTCAAATTCTTAGGATACTGATACATGCTACCTTTTCTCTGGGTTTATGGAGCATCCAGTAGACATGGGCACTGACTGCTGTTGTAACAGTCCTGTGACGAGCACTGTCAGACCTGGTAGAGATCTGATTTGAAGAGAAATACTCAAAGTGCCCTTTACCTTTAAGGAGTCCTTTTATGAATGCTTGCCCCACAAACAGGGGAGGGGAGGTTGAAGACCCTTCTCTCTGTTAAAGCAGCAGCTGGTCCCGGCCTTACAGGAGACAGTTGTTGGTCAGGCCTATCTTCTTTAACTCCTCTCAGGTCATGGGTCATGCATAAGCGGGGACTTCACTGTTTAAAGCAGAGGTTCACTCCTTTAACAATGTGCATATAAGCCAAGCTATCTTGCTTGAAAACTTCCTCTGATAAAACAGCTCAGTGGATTCCAGGCAGCCTGCTGATAAAGCATTTAGGCAGGAGGACCTAATTTCTCATTAAGACAGCGTCATCCTCTCTCCATATGCCTGGGTTTAAATTTCCTAGAACAGATGCCAAAGTTAGAAGGCCTTCAATGTAGAAAGCAGAGTCATTTTTTAAAATTTCTCTGGAAATACTTTAAGGAAGGGAAAACTATTAATTGATGAGATATCCTGAAAGAGAATAAAAAGGAATTCTGGGAAGGCCAGTAGATAATTTCTTGTATTTCCACAGTTATACTGTTGATGAAATATTGATAAGGTAAACACACACTGACTCCAACATCAAGATTCATGATGTCTCATTTTTTAAAGCAACACATTAATTATTTTGAATTCCCAGGATGTTTTTCCAAAAACCTCAGTTTAATTAGCTTCCTTTTTTGCAATCAAGAATGTGGAAGCAGCACCTTATTGCTGAAGAAATATTTTGACAGTGGGCAGAGCTAAGAAAGTATGCTGGCTTTCGAACTCACTGTAAGATATTATTATCCAAAATTAAAAGAGTTGCCTTTTCTGCTTTATTAAATTTAAGGAAAAGTCTTTGTGCATATTCTCATTTTCGGTGATTTTTGCGTCTTTGACATTTAATATATGACACAATTTCTTTTTTTCATTTAACAGCTACCATTTAGCTAGCCTCACATTTTCACTCTATCTTCCCCTGGCCCTATTTAAGTAGGTTTGAATAGAATCCATGTAGCTGATAATTGTGGTCTGGCGTCTTAGCCATACCCCATCTGAAGTGGTATGGATAAACTGGTACAGATGGGACAGTCTGCCCTTATGAAAGATCCCCAAAACTCCTGCTGCCCAGGTCATTTGGTCTAGAGCAGGGTTTCTCAACCTCAGCACTATTGACATTTTGGGTCAGATAATTCTTTGCTGTGGGGAGCTGTCCTATGCATTGTAGGATGTAACCTGGGCCTTTACCTACTACATGCCAATTACAACCCATCCCCCTGTCACTCCCCAATTGTGGCAAACAAAAATGTCTCTAGACATTGCCAAGTGTCCTGGGGCCAGGGGTGGGAGAATCGTTCCCCATTAAGATTCACTGGTTTAGAGAATTCTGAGTTGAGTAGATCTGTTTCAGGGCAGACATCTGATTTTTGTCCACTCTGTTTGCTAGTGTCCTGACCTTCCCCTAGTGTGGGTACAAGTCTCTAAAGTACCCCTAGACTTGGCCAGCCTAGTTGGGGAGACTGTTTTGCCCAAATGGGATTCTTTGAAGAGTCATCCTAAGGGCAAGAAGAGTAAATGAACTTGGAGGTTTTGGTGGAGTCATCTTCTTAGGATACTAATACGTGTTGCCTTTTCCTCTCTCCGTATGCCTGGGTTTAAATTTCCTGGGGATAGTGGCCTCCCATGCTCCTCTTGCAGTCTTTCAAATTGTTGTTTACCTTGTTTCCCTAAAATATACAGCTCCTTTGAAAGTTGACCATAAACTCTTCAGCTTTATCATCTGTTTCCCTTCCTTTTTTATAGTTTCTTACAGATCTCTGAACCATTGTCCCTCATTCTTGTTTCAGTTTCTCTCTGCAACACTACCTATTTCCATATCCTGGCTGCTCATTTGACACAGATCACCAAGTCATTCTTGAAACATTTTATTTACTTGATTTTAGGAAACCATGCTCTCCTCTCCTAAAATCTTGTAGTCTTCTTGCTGGATTCTCCTCATCTTCCTAATTTGCAAAATTTTAAGTGTCCCCTGGGCAGTCCTTGGTGACTATATTCAGTCTCAGAGTTTTAAATATTATCTCAATGGCAAACATTTCTGTAGTATTTACTGTGTTCTAGGCATTGTTCTAAGTGTTTTTCAAATATAAACTCATTTAATGTTCCTAACAACCCTTGACATAGGTGCTTTTTCAGAGTTATACAGGTAGAGAGTATTTCTCAGAGTGTGGTCTCCCAATCACCTGCATCAGAAGTGCCCAGGATGCTAGTTTAGCAGCCACCTCTTAGGGTTGGTGTAGGGATTAAATGGAATACTTCAAGCAAAGCACTTGGCATATG